CACCTAGCACAATATCTCAATCCCCTTCTTCATTAAGAAGTTTATGAAAGTAAGTCTATCATCTCCTCTTAATCTGGGCATCTTCCATCAATACTCTACCATCTTCGTCCTTGATGCATCTCACTTGGTCCAAATCCCGAGCCTTCCTCTCTCTCGTCTTGGCCAGCCGGAATAACTTCTTCTCCCCGCCTTTCTCCCCCAGTTCCTCGTACATATGACCATAAACCGCAGTCTTAGCCTCCGTGATCGCCAGCTTAGCTTCCTTCCTAGCTACCTTATACCTCTCCATGCAGGCTCGCCTCTCCTCCTCACTTATGCTCCCTACTAACTTCAGGTACGCCGCCTTCTTCGCTTTCACTTTACCTTGGACCACTTCATTCCACCACCAGTCTCCTTTGTTCCCTCCAGAGACTCCCGCCGAGACCCCTAACACCTCTCTCGCAACCTCCTTTATAAAGTCTGTTTTCGTCAACCATATAGTGCTCGCGTCCCCACTACTACTCCAGGCTCCCAAAGCCGACAACCACCCCTCCAACTCCTGGGATTTATCCTTAGTCAAGACTCCCCACCTGATTCTCGGTCGTCCTCGGACAAACCTTTTCCTCCTCTTTAACATAATACCAACATCCATCACCAAGAGCTTATGCTGCGTCGCAAGTATCTCACCCAGAATAACCTTGCAATCCTTACACAGCCCTCTGTCACACTTCCTGAGGAGGAGATAGTCAATCTGAGTACTCGCTACCGCATTTTGAAAAGTCACCAAATGCTCTTCCCTCTTCGGAAAGCTAGAGTTCGCAATCACCAACCCAAATGCCTTAGCGAAGTCCAATATCGAAGTACCTCCTCCGTTCCTCTCCCCAAAACCGAAGCCTCCATGAACCTCACCATAGCCCCCAACGGTTGACCCGATATGACCATTGAAATCCCCTCATATGAATAGCCTCTCATCAGGTGGAACCTGGCGCACAATCTTATCTAACCCCTCCCAGAAGCGTTGTTTAACCTCCTCATCCAGGCCCGCGTGCGGCGCGTAAGCGCTAACGAGTTAAGGGTGCACACTCCAACCACCAACTTAATAGCCATCAATCTATCATTCACCCGTTTAACCTCAACCACAGACTCTCTAAGATCCCATCCACCAAGATACCCACTCTATTCTTACTCTTCCAGACTCTGGAGTACCAAAGCTTATAACCGTCTGCATCCCTCGCCCTCGACCTTACCCACCTAGTCTCCTGGACACACGCTATATTGACCCTCCTCCTCCGGAGGATCTTCGCCAACTCTATAGACTTACCCGTCAATGTACCTACGTTCCATTACCCAATTCTCAACCTACAGGCACCCCTGTTCCCCTTACATCCCTTGCTTCCCGACCCACCCCCTAACCCCTTCCCT